TTTTAAGAATAAAAACAAAAAGTAAAAAAAAAAAGCAAAAAAAATGACAAGCAGTGTTTCTACAAATAGCTTTCAAAACATTAAAGAAGTTATCAAGGTTGTAAATAATCTTAGAGATTTTGGAGTAGAATCTGATAAAATTGAGCTTCCTAAAATAGTAGTTATTGGTGTTTAATCTTCAGGTAAGTCTTCACTTCTAGAGTAAATTGTCTAGATAGACTTTTTACCTAGAGGTACTGGAGTAGTGACTCGTTGTCCTTTAGAAATAAGACTCATTGAAGTAACCAGCTATGCTAAAGATTTTAAGCCCTACGCTTACTTTTTTGAAGAAAGAAGCAAAACATATGAAAATTTTGAAGAAGTAAAAAAAAGAATTGAAACAATTACAAAGGAGCAAGCTGGAGTAGGTAAAAAGATTGTTGATCAAGCAATAACTTTGACTATCTTCTAGACTAAATGCCCTACTTTGACTTTAATTGATTTACCAGGTATGACTTTGAATTCTATCGAAGACTAGGTCGATGTTGAAAAAGTTACTCAAGACATGACTTTAAAATACATCAAAGAAGAAACTACAATTATCCTTTGTGTTATTCCTATCAACTAGGATTTAGAAAACTCTCTTGCTTTGAAGCTTGCTAGAAATGTTGATAAAACTGGTAGTCGTACTATTGGAGTACTTACTATGATAGATATAATGAATCCAGGCACAAATTGTGAGAAAGTGTTAAGAAATTAGTAAATTCCACTTAAGCATAGATATTATGGTATGAAACCTCGTAATTAAAATGATATAAATAACAATATCACAGTTGAATAAGCTATAAAAAATGAATAAGAATATTTTTCAAACCATGAAGTTTACAAAGAGTTTGCTGATTATACTGGCACAGCTGCCTTAACTCATAAACTTTCTACATTATTAGATAGTCACATTCGTCACTTTTTGCCAGATATTTTTAAAAAGATCTATTCTACTCTTCTTTAAAGAATAGAGTCAAGAAAAAAATTAGGCGATCCTTTCCCTACTGATATCAACAAATAGTAAAAAGAGCTGAGAGATATAATTAACAAATCTTTAAATATTTTCAAACAAGCTATGTAAGACTTTGATTTAACTGAAGTTGAAAATATTGAAAAAATCTAAGTTGGAGAAAGAATGGGTAGAAATTATGTTGACTTTTTAATGGATCATTATTCAGAATAAAATAGAGAATTATTCATTCAATCTCTCAAAAATGTTGATATGAAAAAAGTCTAGCACGAACTTTAGAAGTTTAGAATTCCTGTTAACGGATTTATTCCTTTCTAGGCCCTCCAATCTTAGATAAGATAGCATGTAAGTCACTATGAGCACAAAGCCAAGGAGTTGCTTGAAAGTATAAAGGAATATTTAAAGAAAGTACTATATTTCTGCATTGATTAGTATCCTTATCCTAACCACTTTATCAAGAAAATGATTTAAGATCTACTTTCAAAGTATATTACAAAAAGATT